TGGTTTTCACACCCCCCCCCCCCCCCAGTGTGTTGCCTGTTTTATATTTATTATATCTTAGTATTATTAGATCTTAGTGGACTTCTTTAAAAAGTCTTTCCACTTAATCAGGTATAGAAGCAATTTGGTGATTACCAGCCATCAACTCATGACTTGCACAGGAGAGTCCATGGCTGTTTATAGTCTCAGACCTTATATGATAAGAGTGACTGCACTTGCATAACAGAATTTGCTAATAGCACAACCTTTTTTTCCCATTCATAGAAGTGACCCATAACAACTGCTCAGTGAATAATGGAGGTTGCACGCACTTCTGTACAGAGATTGGGAACGGCACATCTCGGACATGCAGCTGTGCCATGGGGTATCAGCTGCAGGATGACAGCCGCAGCTGTAAGCCATATGGTAAGTTCTTTTCACACCAAAAAGATGAGTTGATATGCTGTATTCACACGCTTCACTTTCACTAATGAAGTAAGCAATGGGACTGCTTTGTAATGGAATGTAAATTCTTATTATATTTATCGATGAGTTGAGGTTATGTCCTGTGCCCCAGCTGGAGTTCAGGGACACCGAGTCATAGCACAGTCATGCGTTTTTATTTCTGTTTACATTACTAGTCTTGTGAAAAGATTGGACAGTAAGGCCAGGTTCACACCATTTTCTGGACCAGATCTGGAACGCAGTGCATTGCGTTCTGCCGTGTTTTTGCCGTGATTTTACCACATTTTTTATTTTAGCTTTTAGCTTTAATTAAAGCCTCCGTTTTTTTTGCATATATCTACTGCTATGCAAAAAGTGTAAAAAAAAAAAAAACTGCTTTGAAAAGGGTTAATACTTACCTGTGTCTTCCCCGCGCGTGATAATTCACGGGCGGGCGCATGCGCAGATCCCATTTTCGGTCGGGACGAGAGGACACAAGGTAAGTGTATGGACGCATGCAGACACCCTGGGACAGGAAGTGCCAGCAAGCTCAGAGGAGTCAGCGCTGGATCAGAGACCCGCAGCAGCGCTGGAGGGACAGATGAAAAGGACAAGAAAGAAGAAGATCGGATTAAGAAACATTACTTAAGGTAAGTGCTGACATTAACATTCCGGGGAGGGAAAAGCATTTTTGAGTTTAATGTCACTTTAAGGGCCGGTTCACAGCAGCTCCAGTGCGTTCCAGCACGATTCGCTGCAGAAGCGCATCTCGGCCGGCTTCCTGCGTTCAGAGACGGGAGGGGGCGTGGCGGTGTGTTGAAGTCAATGGCCCCCCGCCCGCATTGCGACAGTTCGCACCAGAAAGTGTGGCACATCAGTGTCTGCGTTCCGGTCCAGTGCGATCTGAAAAAATAATGCCTGTATCCATTGACTTCAACGCACCGCCATGCCCCCTCCCGCCCCTGAACGCAGGTAGCCGGCTGGGATGCGTTTCAGCAGTGAATTGTGTTAAAACGCACCAGAGCTGGTGTTAACCGGCCCTCAAATGGGCTTACAGGTGCTGTCCAGTGGTTTGCATGCGTTTGTATGCGTTTCCATGCATTCCAGAGCAGAGAAAATTAGTCAAGCAGTATTTTTCTGGTCTCGACTGGAACGAACTGCGCTGGTGTGAACAGAGCCTAGAAATACCATAAGGATACTTTTTTGGTCCGGGAACAAACTGTTCTGGTCTGGACATGATCCGGACAAGGTGTGAACAAGCCCTCAAGGGCTGATATATAATGGAGAACAGATATTGCTATCTGGTCTCCATTATACTCTGCTAGGTTATGCACATGCAAGCCTTTATTTTATGGCCTATTCGTAAAATACCCCTGTGTGCAGTGCCCCCAGAGCTCGCTCTCCTGAGGCTGGGTTCACACCTAGGCGTATTGAATATGCGCGTTTGTCGCGCGTTTTTACAGCGATTCGCGGTAAAAAAACATGTGGCAAACGCGCGTTTCCGAGGGCTACTTGGCTGTATCCCAATGGAAACGCGAGACCAAAACGCCCCAAAGAAGTACATGTACTTCTTTGGGCTTAGGCCGATTTGTAGCGCGTTCAGACGGGCTGAAATACGGAAAGGTGTGAACCATACCCATAGAAAACAATGGGATTTTCAAGTTTTGTAGAGCGTTCATAGAGCGTTGAACGCACAACAAAACGTAAAGGTGTGAACAGGGCCTTAATGCAAAAGAGAACACTGTGACTGGAGGAGAGCTGGTCATGTGACTTTGACAGTTCACATGACATGTCTCTTCGCCTGGCTTTTTTGATGTGCTCATTCATTTTTTCACGACGCACATTTTTTAAAATTAAGGCAACGATATGGCCATGGTACCCCTAAATGAGGGGGGATTTCTCTGAAGGACCACCTGCATAGTAGGAAAAACCCAGCAGTGGTTTAATTCTGCCCCATTCCTCTAGTTCAGTTCCCTAGCGACACCAGTATTCAGCCTCCCCCAGTCATTCATCTCCCCCAATTCCTGCTGCCAGTCTCATTCTCTTCCTTTTGCTCTTTTTTTCTACCAGCACCTGTATTCAGTCCCCTGGCTTCCTGCTGTCATTCATCCCCCACTTTCCACTGCCAGTTTCATACACCTTATCATACCTTATCATTCTCTTCTTTCTTGGCACTTGTATGCAGCCTCCAACAATCCTTCCTCTCCCCCACCTTCCACTGGCAATCTTGTTCTACTCCTCTTGTTCCCCTGTCATTACCCCTGCATGAGTAATGACAGCGCTCATCTCTGGGACGTGCCTGCTACCAAGGCAAACCTTGTAATTCACAACTAAATAAATATTCGTCTTTTAATAAGCAGTGTGATCACAAAATGGTGGAGAGAGGAGGGGCATGCTGTTGACCATCCCAACTCAGGAACATGACCACCTAGAAAGACAGGACAAAGTGGTACATGCACTTTGCCACCTGGGGAACAGGGGTGGGGGACATTGCAACTATGGCTGCTGGTCTCATGAGATTTGGAATAACGTTGGGTGATGACACTACTGTGTTGCTCCCTGTTCTCCTTGCTGAAAAAAAAGAAGCTGTATTTGAGGACCTGCAGTGCAAGGGTCTCCTTGCTTCTTCTTCATCCATACCAGGGGGGGCAGCTCTGACATTAAGAAGCAAAGCCCTACATCTACCAAGATGGCCACATACATACAGAGACACACTGCACAACAAGATACTACGAGTAATGGGAAAAAAATTAGCTGCAGATAACCTATAGACAATACTGGCCATTCATTTTTTTGTCCTCTGCTTGCCTTTTTGGGCACAACTTCCACAGTTCAGGTCCTCTTTAACCCACCACCAGCATAATAACACTTAAACTAACCCATAAATTGAGGGTAATCTCTACACTTAACGCTAACGCTGTCTCTTCTGCTGTATACTCACAGCAGGGCCGTCTTCAAAATTGATTGGACTCTAGGCAAACATTTTCTTGGGCCCCCCTGCCCTTACTCTCCATGCCCAGCCCCCTTCTCGCCCTGCAGATAGGAGAAGTTGTCAGAGAGAGACATGACCCTGTGTGAGATGTCACATTACATTATGTACGGCCGGGGTGGAGTGACACTACGCAATTCCGATCACATCGTAAACAGAACAGTGGTGCGTGTGTATCTTTTGCGGGCTTAAGGGGCAGCTGCGTTGGCCCCCACAACAATGACTAGGCCCGTGGTAACTGCCCCTTTTGCCACACATTAGAGATGGCCCTGACTCAGTGTCCTGTGTCAGGTGCCTCAGCAACTAGAAGACACTGTAATATTTTTATTTGTCCTGATCACATTTTTCAGTGCTATCACAATAACTCCTTAAACTGGAGCACTTAGAGCAGAAGTACGTACCATGGAACTAAAAAGTTGGCTATGCATTAGGTATATGTTGTGCTGAACAGAATACTTACATCTTACAGGGGATTTTCCTTGTGGTAGAAGTAAAATCATTGACTATGACTATTCAGCTCGTCTCACAGGAGCAAAGAAGGGGCGCAAAGGAGACAGTCCATGGCAGGTAAGTAATCTTATTTTATTTTATAAAGTACATTAATCGATAATCCTAATTATTCACTAAAGTTATTGGGTTTTACTGATAAAGAATGCAATCATGTCAACATTTTAGCTGGTGCAACATGTAAGAAATGTTAAAAAATCCATAAGGTAAACTTACTATTCTGCAGAAAAAAATTGCATTGGCGTACAAAAAACGAATCATTCTGCACCCTGTGGTTATTTCACGAGGTAAAGGATGAGCCATTCTGGGTCAAGCAAAGTCAACAGAGCTCAAACATGTTGTATCCCCTTACCATACTCGTAGAATACCACATCAACATCATTGCAGGAAAACAAAGCGGGCAGAGTACTGTCTTGTATTAAAAAGGGAATGTACTGTAGAAACAAAGCAATAATTTTGCCACTTTCTAGATCGCTGGTTCGGCCTCATCTGGAGTATGCGGTCCTGTTTTGGTCACCAATACACAGAAAGGATGTCCTGGAGCTGGAAGGAGTCCAGAGAAGGGCAACTAAACTAATTAAGGGGATGGAGGACCTAAGCTATGAGACAAGGTTACTAAAGTTAAACTTGTTCACGCTGGAAGTGAGGAGATTAAGAGGGTACATGATTTTGATGTACAAAATGTTTAGTGGTGATGGCAACATCAGCAATAAACTGTTTACGGTAAACACCATAACAAAGACTAGAGGCCACCACCTAAAAGTGATGGAGAAAAGATTTAACCAGAAGGGGCGTAGGGGATTTTTTTCAGTTAGAGCGGTTAAAGTCTGGAACTCGTTGCCACAAGCAGTGGTATCAGCAGAGAGTATTGAATCATTCACAAAGCATTTAGATACCTTCCTCAGAGACAATAACATACAGGGTTAGAGGTACTCTTAAAAACTAGACCACAAAGGGACTTGTGTACATACACACACACACACACACACACACACACACACACACACACACACACACACACACACACACACACAGTCACATACAGACACACAAAGGTTGAACTTGATGGACCTGTGTCTTTATTCAACCACAAATACTATGTACGGTAACTATGTTATTGTTTTATGCACTTTCCCCCTAATAGTTAAGGGAAAAATCTTCTTATATTTAGCCTTCCCTGCATCCTTCTTTTCCTCCTCATCAGCACGCTATTGGCATTTGAAAATAAAATCCTTTATTTTTAATTACATAAATTGCTATAACTTGTAGGTTGAAAAAAATGTCTACTTACATATAAAAAACATGTTAAAGCAGACCTTTACCCATATCTTTGAAATAACAACAAACACACCTTTAGAAATGTTTAGTAATTGCAATCTACAGACACATACTTAAAGATAATTGCCGACTTTGTATTCTTTGCATACCTTATTTCTTTTATCTTCCCCGGTCTTCTGACAGTGGCCATGTTTACTAAGGGCAGATTACTAGCTCTCCATTCATTTCCTGGATTTCTGGCACATGTGACTAGGACATGTGACTAGGACATGTGACCATGCACATCATCTCAGGGCAGTAAAATGCCTTTCACTGAGATTAGATTTTCTAGCAATGCACAGCTGATGACAAGGCAATCCCAGTGTGCATTGCGTTGGTAAATTGAATTCATTTTCCCTTCAAAGCAGAAAGTGAATGCTCTGCAAGTGTAAGTATTTCAATATCACAGCATTTTACACCTGACATTTCTGTGATTATTAATCATCATACATAGATGGATGCATTGGTAGAATTTGATTTTTGAGTGTAAAGGTCAGCTTTAACAACTATATACGGTGACTAAACATTTGCTTGCAATGTATGGGCATGACTTTTATGCAAATACCATTGCAGTATGTGCTGTTTTTACCTTCTGATGATATATTGAAAAATAAAAACACAGTAGTCCTCCCTTATATGAATTATATGAATTTCAGTAGTACATTGTACTGTCTTGGTGTTTTTTTCCCTCTTTCTATTGTCCTACCCACTCAATAATTGTTTTATTGTTATTCTTCCCAGCAGTGAGTCACACCATTTTTTAATAATAGGTTTTATATGTGTCCAGTGATGAAATCCACAAATCCAGTATTGTTGTAGAGGCTCTCTTAACTGGGAGCATGGCAGTGGTGTGCCGTTTGCCTACACACATTGTGCTAAACGGTGTCTTTCTTTCCCATTCCAGAAAGTTGACATGTGTGCTTTAATACAGTGATGGTGATGATTCTTACATTATCAGTTTGTACTGTTACTTCCAATGACTTAAAACTATGGTTGTAATTTGCAGCTGAGCAAGTCTGTCTCTGCTTTCTCTTGTGATTTCAGGCTTTACTTGTCCATGCTAAGAAGTTTTTATGTGGTGGAGTTCTGATTCACCCATACTGGGTCCTCACTGCAGCACACTGCTTCAGAGGAACTCAGAAGAATGCAAAGTTCTATGTACGGCTCGGTATGTACCTGTTTATCCTACTCATTTGTGTTTTGCTTAATGCTTGTCAATGAATTATCCTGGAAACTTGGACTTAAGCTGGCCGTACATTGTTCTATTTTTTTTTTTTGTTTAACCCATCAATTTAATTAAAAAAATAAACAAAACAGATTCTTCCATCAATTCTTATGAGCGTTGATGGATGACTCCCCGCTGTTTCCTTTGTATTCTGACAGCGGCCGCCACAAGTACCATTCGTGCTAAGATTTTCCAACCGTCTCCTTTAGCTGATCGAGGGATGCCGGGCAAAAGGTTGCCAACAACGGCACTCACTGTGCAAATTTCAGCCGGTTCCTGAAGAACCGGCTGAAATTCACATAGTGTATGGCCAGCTTTAGCTGTGATCTGATAGCCTCTGTATAGTCAAATTTGACAGACAAAAGACATGCTATAGAAGATTTTACCTTTTATTACTGTAGCCCTGTTTTTTTTGGGGGGTCATATGAGATGACCGTCTCCAAGCAGGTACAGCTGCCAACCTGTAGGTAACTTGAAAATCCTGAGCCTCTGCTAGGGCAAATTCACTTTGCAAAGCGAAGGTGTCTTAAAAGCAGAACTCCCGGCAAATAAAATCTTAAACCCTTGCAGAGGGGTAAAGGGTAAAGTGCTTGTTTTGTCTGGGTAGCTATAATAACAAAGTTCCTGGCTTACTCTTAGACCTGTCCATTCAACCTCGCTCCCCCTCCGCTCCAGCAGTCTAAGGTCCCACGAGTTATCACGTCCTATACAGTGTATAGAACGTGAGTAGACCGAGGGACATACCATCGCTGGAGCAGAGGGGGAGGCAGGCTGGTAGGAGCTTGTATTTTTAGCCCCCTAGACAAAACGAGAACTTAACTCTTGAAGTGTGGGGGTAGCCCCACTGCAAGGGTTAAGACTTGATTTGCCCGGAGTTGAGCTATAACTTATTGAATGAAGTGACGCTGTTATGAGTTCAGTCATCCAATCGTGTTCAAGCAAACATTGTTTGCATTTTTTTCCCCCCCCCCCTTGTACATGATTGGGTATCTTTAGAAGATGAATTTTCTAATAGCTCCACCTCAGTCCTTAAGTTTAGTGAAGTCACTTTGAAAGTGGACATGTTCTGCTGTTGCGTTTGCTGGTTGTAGTGGGTCAGTGTTCTTTGCGTATTGCTCCTGGTTTTAATAAAATGGCACTGCATCCAGTTATTTGTTTTTGGTGCTGCTGCAGAGTTTAGTCACAATTCCTTATGCATCTCAGTAAATTGGAACAAAAGTAATTTAATCTATCTTATATAATGGAGGATGGAATATGACTAGCGGGGATACTTCTGTTGCAGGTGTGAAGACTATGGTGCTAAGATCTTACTGCTGGAGTCTCCAAGAGATATAATGGGTGACCAGAACACCAGTGCAGCGCTTCCAATTGCATGCACTGATGAAACTGCTTATTGATTAGCAATACATATGTGATGCATTTACAGCAGCTGTATATTGTCTACAACCAAGGAAGTCACTCACTTTACAGCATGGAGCTGCCAGAGCTTGCAAATGGCTGTACCATCTGGCTTTAGGTCACTGGTTGATGCTGCTAAACTCTGAGGCCACTTACAAGTGCTGTTTCCCCATTAAATCCATGAATGTAATACTGTAGTTTTACATGGAATAACTGTTTTTTTCTTTCTGGTTCATTAAGGAACACAGGATTCAGTATTCAGATACAACTGGATTATACTGGAGGACAAGGACACTAGCAAACAATAAAAAGCAGTGGCTAGTGTGGTATAACCCCCTCCGACTTTTTACAAGTGTCATAGGCGGATGATTGTAAAAAAGTTTAAATATTTTACTAGGCATTCTTTCTATATTTTGAAATGCTTTTTCTTCAATCAAGACTTAATCTACATGCTGCTGAGCTGGACTCTTTATCCAGCTATGCAGATCAGAGTATCCTTAGCAGTAGCTTTGGAGACCTTACCTGGTCCCGCTGTAGCGAACATTGCGGTGCCTGTGTGGAATGTGACCTTCGGGCACTTTGCTCTCTTTGTGGCACCCTGTGTAAGTCAGCCTCAGAGTGCTTTATAGGTCCAGAGCCATCGCAAAGCATTTGTGGGACCCAGTCTCTGAATACTCTTTGTGTCCAAAGCAATTTTTTAAAGGGTAAGTATTGGGAGAGTAAAACATACTCTTGCCAATACTTAGAGCTGGAAAAAATACTCTTCCCAATACCTAGAGGCGGCGTGGGACACTGCAGCTGCCACATGCCAGCTCTATATACTGAGAACTGAGCAATCATGTAACCGCTGATCGCCCACCTCACGGTCTCCTCCCTGGGTTGGCTTTACTTCTCTTTTATACACATGATATTCTTCATTTTTGCCAGAAAATTAGTTAAAACCCTCACACATGTCTACTCACCAGTACACCAGAAATAATTTTCTATTCACTGTCTGGATGTAGTTTGTGCTGTGCGTGTACTTCTCAGCCACTAGAAGTAAACCCGACTGACGGACGCTCTTTTTGTCATTCTTGATTGTCCACATAAAAGACAACCAGCTTCCTCCTCCACCATTTCTCGGTGGCTCAGACAAGCTTTTAGTCTTAGGGACAAGGTTCTAGTCTTAGGGACAAGGTCTTTTCCAGTCTTTCATGCCAAAGAACACTCTATTAGGTCTGGCAGTGATTCTTGGGCTTTTCAGCATCAAGCTTTTGTTTCCCAGATTTGCAAGTCTGCTGCCTGGTCTTCTGTTCACAGTTGTATCTGAATACTGAATCATGTGTCCCTTAATGGAGGAGAAATAAATTAGGATTTTTTTACTTACCGTAAAATCCTTTTTTTTTTTGTTTATTAAGGGACACAGGTCCCACTCCTCTCTGCTTATGATCTACTTTTAGTTCAGCCTTTCTATAAAACTGAAGTATGCTGGGAGTGGGAGAGGTTATATTTGACAGGCCACGTTTGTTTTTGTTTGCCAGTGTCCAGACCCTCCTATAGGCGGCAGTATACTTCAATTGTATCTGAATGCTGAATCTTGTGTCTCTTAATGAACTAAAAAAATTATTTTACGGGGAGTACAAATATCCTATTTATAATGCAGGTCCATGTGCCCTTCTTTTATACTTCTTTATACTTTAAATATGCAAAGGTCAGCATTATAGCACTGTCAATACACTATGCACTTAGATAAGGCAGAGCTCAGTAAGAAAATTATTAGATGATGGAGAAAAGTGCAATATTTTGTCATGTACCCATTTACTCATTTTTTAAAGTTTAGTGAATACTGAAAAAAATGGCCCAGAATATTTTGTTAAAACATGTTATACTTCAGTTTTACGCTGGAGCACTCCCTATTCAAAAGTGAACTTACCATGCAATGCTTAGCACTAAATGTTGCCCCACACTTTGTAACCCAAAATAATGTAAATACTTCAGTTTTACACTGGAGCACTCCCTATTTAAAAATGGATTTTCTATTCAAAGCTCAGCTCTAAATGTTGCCCTGCAGTTTGTAACCCAAATAAAATACTGTACTCCATTTACTCATGGGTACTTTTTTTAAACAAAACAGTGGCTTTCCTTTAAAGACTGGAAAGAAAAAAAGTGAATTCCATTTCTCAATGTTTGATTGGTTGTAGTCATAGTTACTCTATCATAAATCTATAAAAAGTAATTTCTAATATCTACCTTCTCTAACTCTTAAACCATGTTATATTGCAGGTGAATATGACCGCCGGAATTTGGAAGACACAGAGCAGCAAATTGCAGTCACCAAGGTCATCATACATCCCAAATTTGACCCTGGATCAGTAAATAATGACATTGCTCTTATGCGTCTTAACGAGCGAGCCGTGTATAACAAATATGTGCTGCCCATCTGTCTTCCAACCCATGGACTTGCTGAAACAAAACTGACAGTAGATGGCACAGAGACAATTGTAACTGGCTGGGGGAACCAGGATCAATCTCTACGCAACCGCACGATGATCCTTAGCTACATACAAATCCCTATAGCCCCTCAAAGCAACTGTTCTGAAGTAATGCGTCTTGGAATTACAAATAATATGCTATGCGCAGGAAGGCTGGGAGACATTCAGGATGCATGCTATGGGGACAGCGGGGGGCCCATGGTGACCAGGTTTGGTGATACCTGGTTTCTTATTGGGATAGTGAGTTGGGGAGAGGGTTGCGGAAGGCTGGATAATTTTGGAGTCTACACCAGAGTTCATCATTACCTCGACTGGATTGGTCAGGAAATGGAAAATTATGAGACGGAGGTGAAAAAAATTAAGCCAAATCCAAAAGAATCACAGAAAAACTGACATCTAATCGTCTGCTAGGACAACACATCTAGACAAGACAAGTGCAAATAATATTGTTGAACTATTCAACAGCATTGTATAAAGAAATGCAATAAAGATGGTCATAACTAATGTCATTATTTTTCTTTATTATTGAAAAACAATAGAGAATTAGGTACCAATAGTTATTAAATATAAACTAGGGTTGTGATATGTGATTG